GTATGTATGTGTGTGTGTATATATATGTACATATATATATAAATATATATATATAAATATATACATATGTATATATATATATATATATATATGGTATAAATATATATATATGTATATCTATATAAATATTTATATATATATACCTATATATATATATATTATATATATATATATATATATATATATATATATATATATATATATATATATATATATATATATATATATATATATATAATAATANACATATATATATATATTATATATATTTATATATATATACTATATATATATATATATATATATATATATATAATATACACACATCTATGTCTGTTTAGCGAATAGATAAGTGTGGCTATCAACATTGTGTTACATTCTTTTCGTATAATAAAATATAAGGTATTCAATTGCACACGCTATGCCGTAAGAGATACTGCTGAGTTATACACATACACATGCCCTCATCACCTGGTTTTGTTTCAATACCTTTCGCCACCAACTAACAACTCTACCACACCAAGAAAGGTTACAACCTCCTCATGTAACTATACACATCCTTCCGCTAACCTTGAGTCTTTTCTCGCTCTCCTCGTGCAGCCGTACTTCCGTCCTTCCTATTCGGTGAGGTCAAAGGCACAGTCAAACTACTGGACCAGAACGATAGGCAGATCACCTGCCTGCATGTAGACATCAACCTCGGAGACTAGCCGCTCAACCAGTGTTGACGAGAGGTTGTATACGTTTGTACTGCCACGCGCCAGAGGGTGATGCGTGTTAGTGGTCCGTAGGTATGGATGGATGTTGCATCTGCTTAGCTGCTTGGGGCCGACTGGGCTGGGCTGTGAGGCTCAGGGGCTAGGCTGTCATATGGGCGTTGTTGCTGTTCGAGTGATTGTAATTTTTTAGGTGGCACGGCTGCAAGGAGGAATGTACCTTTGCTTATATGTGAGATAAGGGATGAGCAAATAAAGTTTGTTTTGGCTTATATAGTGTTTGTCTTGGCTTATATAGTGTTTGTCTTGGCTTATATCATGTTTGTCATGGCTTCCACAAAGTTTGTTTTGGCATGTACATAGTTCGTTTTGGCTTATATCAAGTTTTTTTTTGGCGTATATATAGCTTGTTTTGGCTAAGATAAAGTTTGTTTTGGCTTATATAGAGTTTGTTTTGGCTTATATGAAGTTTTTTTAGCTTATATTAAGTTCGGTTTGGCTCCTGCGTGATCGGTTCCTTGCAAATAAAATGCACTTGGACACACTTGGACAGTGAATGAAAATTACCAGAACGACAATTTCTATATATATGACAAGGAAACCCATAGTTACCACAGGGCGTGGACTGGGCTAGGCACAGTGCGTGGCTAATACTACTGAATAGCTGATAAGACTATTGTAGACTCATCATTTTACATACCATGGTAACCCATAGCTACCACAGGGCGTGTACTGGGCTAGGCACAGTGCGTGGCTAATAGTACTGAATAGCTGATAAGACTATTGTAGACTCATCATTTAACATACCATGGAAGCTCATAGTTCCCACAAGAAGTTGACTGCGCTAGGCACAGTGCGTGGCTAATACCATTGAATAGCTGATAAGACTATTGCAGACTCATCCCTGTACATGCCATGGTCACCCATAGCTACCACAGGGCGGGGACTGGGCTAGGCACAAGGCGTGACTGATACTACTGAATAGCTGATAAGACTATTGTAGACTCATCCCTGTACATGCCATGGTCACCCATAGTTTCCACAGTACTGCTGAATAGCTTCTCCCTTCGAGCACCAATCCCAAGTTGATATGACTACTCTTTTTTATTCATGTTTTGGTCCACCATCACCGTCTATCTATGCTGGCGTTATTTTAGTTTTATAGAAGATTTCGATTATTGTTTTCGGTTGTGTACACAGCTGATTCCCTTCAGTTCCGATGGTTTAGAAACCCTAAAACCCTAGAAAACTCAGGCATAGTGGTGCACTCGAAGTGGGGTTGAAGCGACATGTGAGAAGGAGACAGACTCAATGTCAACCGTGCTTCTAGAGGCTATAAGGGTACTCAAGCATGCAGCCTAAATTGCGATGATATCGGATACTAGTTGGTCCATTTCAGAGTCTATAGCTCAGAAGTGGGGCCATACAATAGGAATGCAACGGTTCCAGAAATAAATATCAGTCATGTACATACACCGAATCAGTAAACGTGCGAGTGGGCTTTCTTTGATTATCCCATTCCATAAGGCGGGCTACACAGATGAACGCACTCCTCCCAAGAGCCCCATTGCCCAATGCAATGAATTCAGGTGCCAACAGACGATGTCAATAGGGCGAGTCAATAGTCGCTGTGTGTGTACGTGCTTTAGGGTTTAGGGTATTCGCTGTGGGTGTACGTGCTTTATGTATATCGTCCACCATAGAACCGAGTCCTAGCTTGCACCATCGCGTTCACCACCGGAGTACGACTATAAACCCGATAGTAACTACACAGACGTACTGCAGAGGCGGATCACATGACCCACTCCGAAAGAGCCCTCGGCACAACCCGACTACGGGTCAGTTCAAGCACGCCACACCCAACAGCAGCAGCGGTGCTGGGTAGGTTTAGAGGCTTTTTTTTTGCTGTAAAATCTGGTCTGAGACATGCGCATAGAGCCAGCAGGCTCTAAAGACAGCCGCAAAAGGCGGTGAGAGTTCGATGGGAAGTGGCTGAAGAAAACACACCCTAAAACCCTACAACCCTAATACGTACCACCGTCGATGGTAGTAAGTTGTTCGCCCATAGGAACATGTGACGTTCACAAAGCAGAACGCCTCCCACACAGAGCTATTACGCACAAATAGGTGAACGTCCGGTTCCATTGGTAGCCCCTAAGAGTTTCTCCTAATATGTGATCATATCAAACGATGGTAATTCTATTTATAGATTACTCATCAGGCAATCACGCACGGCGGCTTCCCCTGCGGTTGCAGTACTCCACCGAAGTCAGTGAGCTTGGCTTGAGGTGTGGAGTATATATATATATATATATATATATATATATATATATATATATATATATATATATATATATATATATATATATATATATATATATATATATATATATATATATATATATAGTATATATATATATA